CGAGCGTTAGCCCTTCGCTCCGACGAAAGGCTAACGCTCGAAACGTCAGCTTTTGTAATCGTTACGGTGGCCAATTTACCATTTATCACAAGAAACGTTGATGGCCGGGATGGGTTGATTAGCTCATGTTGTAGAGCGCTGGACTGCCGTGCGAGATGTCGAGGGTTCAAGCCATAAATCGGACCAATATTTAGGGCTTTGAAATAACTGAGGAGAATGTGTAGCCTTTGCTAAGACATCTGACAATGGTTAGACATTCTAGTCTTCTGGAATAAGGAGGAGAAACCGTTGAAGAACCCACGCACATCTCCTAAAGAGTAGGCCCCGGGAACGTCGCTAGGTGTTGTATTTTATATACATTTTAAAAGATCACCCTACATAGAAAGAGGTTGGAAGGAAAAAGAAGAAGATAAGGGTAAATTTGAAACGTCTCCTAATGATTTCGCTACTGATTTCTTCTTTGGGCTTTGACCAGTAAGAAACTTACATTATAAGTACCCTAAAAAAAGCTAACCAAAGAACTTGGTATATTCAGGAACTGGAAAAACGCTGATGGCTCGGCAAATTGGCAAGATGTTGAATACAAGGGAACCAAAAATTATCAGTGGACCAGGTAAAGTAATCGAAGATACGTTTATGAGATTTTTTGTTCATCGTATTCCTAACAGCATCACTTTCTAACACACCTATCTTAAGTACGTTCTTAGCGCTCATATCACGAAACCCTTTTCACCGGTTCGGAAAATGTTTTTGTATTCTCTTTGAATTGATCATTTTTATGCAATAGTTGACGGAAGAACCGAGCTCGATTGTTTTTCGTAGTATGTTGGAAATTCATTCATTTGTGCATTCCCTATGTCTGACCGGTGTGTTGATTCCACAAAATCCAAAGCTCATGATTTCATAAATCTTACCCTCAACGCCTTCTTGTTTCAGAGGTTCTCAATAAATACGTTGGAGAATCAGAAGCCAATATCAGGTACGGAAAGATCCCAAAGACCTCAACATTTAGAGTAATGATCATTGCTGGAGTTTCTCTCTGCAGAATTTACTTAAACTTGAACGGGAAAAAACAACAAACATACAAAGAAAAAAAAAGTGTTGGAAAACATAAGAGCAACAAAGTGGAGAGATAATAGATAAAAAAAAAAAAAGATCTAGAATATTTTTAAACCTTTAACCTCTGCGAGTGTAGCCTGAAGGACAGGCTTGGGAGGACCTCCACCCCTCGCGCGTGACTCGCGCTTCGTGCGCGCCTAGCGCGAGGGGAGACCTCCCCAGCTTCTAATTTCTCCTTACATTATCACTGCTGAATCAAACAATGGAAAAGATTGCAAACCGCTAGTTCGATAATGACCAAAGTTTTCAAGAAGCGGTTCCCTTATCTTACCAAATACACGAATCTTGAATACATATTGCTTTCAGTTAAAGCCGGTTACCGCAAGGCAGTTGAGCCCGCGAGCAGGCTCTCGTGTTTGGGTTTCATGTTACGGCTCCTTTTCCGGGCACCCTCACTTATGACATCATCGGCAGCTGCTTAAAGAAAATGTTGATGAAACCGCCGATGAACAATTCTCACATGTGGAAAACTATCCACCAATCAACACGAAATAAGAAGTTTTGTCTCCATTTTCTTCACAGAAAGTTGTTTGCCGAGGCTGAGGAGGAGCAGAAAAAGGTGAGATTTTTCTCTTAAAACTTGCGAGCCAGTTTTAACCCTTTCACCCGAAAGAGTGATTAGAATCTGATCTCTCCTTTCTGTAGCACTCAGGAATGAAACGTTAAGGTCACGGGAAGAAAGAGGCTCTTGACTGTTAAACAAATTCTCTTCGACATTTCCAGGAAATGTAACGAGAGTAATATGAAGAAAATGAATGCTGATGTCAGGGTGTAAAGAGTTATTAAAAAGAGAGAGTAATTCGTCAACAAGTGTTCCTCAGCTCAATTCGAATAGCATGCGATCGGAAAATGGGAATTCTCGTAAGAATTGCTTATTAGTAATATGATATTTCCAATGTGTTAGTTTGTCGCTTCCTGAGAAAGCGTAGCATTTCCTGTGGAATTAAGAGCATTGTATGAAGCTGTTTCAGCGTAAACAGCTGTAATCTCACCAAATTGTGAGACGGCAGAGCGACAAAACTACTCGAGGAAACTCCTTTACCGTACCTGTGTTATCCTTGCAGTTTGGTGACAACAGTGGACTTCACCTCATAATCTTTGATGAGTTTGATGCAGTTTGCAAGTCAAGATACATGTACAATGTAAGTACCACTATCTTGAAAAACTATTATAGTTTTTTGTGGATTATTGGATTATTATTGATTAATTTTTTTGGGTTATTTGGATTATTATTGATTATTGTTTTTGGATTATTTCCTAGGACAGATAAGATCCAGCCGTATTTAATATGCTAGACATTTTTAAATATGCCATGTACACAAATAGTTAAGTTACACTTCAATTAAGTGTCAGAAAGCCAAAACCAAAGCAAACTGTTAAAAAAGGATTTATTGAAATACCACTCGTTTTCCCGCCTTTTTTTGGTTTTACCGCTGAGGATCACAGGCCTCGGTACCCTTTTTTCCTGTAGCGGCCATCTTGCTTTTGTTATGTTTTGAGTTCGAAATAATTTTCATTAATTGATGACTTCTTCCTGCTTATTCAACTGTTTTGGTATCGAGAACAAAAACACAACAGCCAATCAGAGCGAAGGTAACTGTGACAAGAAGCCAATAAGAACTCAGGTCTGTGGACCAATCGCGATTTCTCTTGGTTCTTTTCTGATTGGTTGAGAGGCTGGGACGAGATTTCTTAACCAATCACATTCAATGATTGCCGTTGTATTTAAGTATACGATGAATGTCTGTTAATTTTTTAATTTTCTGATTTAAGATTGATTTAGAGTCTGGGGCGAGTTTTCCTAACCAACTATTTTCAATCATTGCCGTTTTAAGTATGCAATGACAATTTTTTTTTTTTTTTGAATCTTTTGACCTAAGATTGGTTGGGAGGCTGAGGCGAGCTTTCTTAACCAGTCACTTTCAATCATTGCCGTTGTATTTAAGTATGCGATGTTTGTCTGTAAATGTTTTAATTTTCTGACTTCAGAGCGGAGGCACTGGGGTGCAGGACTCAGTTGTAAATCAACTTCTCGCAAAGGTAAGAACATTTTTACGTCTTGTTATGAAAAGCGGAGCATGTGCCCCGTAGATTCTTTAGGTCCTAAAAGAGGCTTTAGAAGGGAGGCCATCCGCGATTTAGGAAGCAGTGGAATATTCCAGTTTGTTTCGGTTCTTACAAGAGTAGACAGAAATACAGAAAAAAAAGTACAACACGTCTCATTATTTATCAACTTCGCGGTCTGTTATTAAAAGAACATTTAATGAATACTGAGTAGCGATAATTCCCTCTATTACGATCTTTTTATTTTACTTTAGATTGATGGTGTGGAACAACTTAATAACGTTCTTCTCATCGGTAAGTCTCTTTAATATCATTTACAGACGCGAAGGGCACGATGTTTGTTCTTTGCAGATTTCTCTCCCGTCCCTCCCCTCCCTTAGTTACCTTACTTGTACGTACTTCTCTTTTCGCATGGTCGTTTCCAATATTCTACAGGCCAAGACGTTTGTATTTGATTATTTCACTTGCCAAGGCAGCCGTTATAAACTAAAGGCGCCGTCGTATTCCTTATCATTTAATGTATGTCTGCTTATCGTGAAAATATGTCTGACGTTTCATTGTTTCGCTCCTCCAGGCATGACAAACAGAAGAGATCTCATCGATGACGCCTTACTCAGACCTGGACGACTTGAGGTACAAGTTGAAATTGGTAAGTAGATTGCAACTCTCTACATTCAAGTGCATTTCAGTTGTACCCTGCCGAACAAAGTCACCCAACAGTCTTGATAGATCCTCTTTACGTATCTGTTTGATACGCTACCGCTCGTGCGTGAACCGCGAGACTACGTCAAACATATCTGCCTTCCATGCTCTGTTCACGTGGGACAGTGAACCCAGTGTACCGAAACTGCACAGAACCAGAAAAGACGTTAACAAAAATTGTTTGATTTAAAAATTTCCGGAATCCATCTTCCTCTCATGATGTGAACTGAAAAAAAAAAAAAAAGAAAAAAGAAAAAGAAAATCTCAAGCTTAAATAAGACATTTCCGAGTTCCAAGACTCTTACTTCCGAGATGAGGTCAAGTGAGAAACTTTGTTTGTGGAAGAATCAAATTTGTTTGAGGATTGAAATTGTTTTATAAGGCTTTGCAATCAGCTTCCTTTTGAAAAAGAAGCTATAGAAATCCCAGGAATGTTCTCTCATCTGGTGGAAATGCTTGTAGAGTTACGCGATAGATAAGTAACCTCAAAAGCTTGTTTTAGCATGAATTGGTTCTTCTTCAGGCTTACCAGATGAACAAGGACGCGTTCAAATCCTGGAGATTCACACAGCGAAAATGCGAGAACACAAGCTGCTGGCACCAGATGTTGACTTGGCTGATTTGGCCGTCAAAACAAAGAACTTTACCGGGGCAGAGATTGAGGGACTGGTGCGAGCGGCGCAGTCCACTGCCATGAACCGCTTCATTCAGGTACAGCAAGCAAATTTTTCGTGGATCGTCTCTATGCGACGAGAATTCAATGGAGGCTTTCGCAAACTGGCTTCAGGAAGCAATGCATCGTGTAATTAGTGAATTAATTACTGTTAGGCCGAAGTCCTCTTACAATCCCAGAAAAATTGCGAAGAAAAATACTTAAGGTTCAATTGGTAAACGACATAACTTACTTCTGTGGCACCATCTTACTGGAGCCGCCTAACAAGAAAATGCCTTCTACGCTTGGTGCTAGATCCTTTATGCCACTGCTTTATGTTTGTGTAATAGTTTGCCGCTGAATTGCGTGCTATCCCATCAAGGACAATTTTTTTAACGCAATCTGAAGACCTGATTTGTTTTATTTTATTGGTAGTCTCATTTACATTTAACATGGTATACTTAGATTGAAGGTGAATCATTGTGAAGCGCTACAGATCAATTCTATGTAAACAGCGCCATAGAAATACTCGAATTTTTAATTATTACTATGACCACGTTCCCTCACCAAGACTTAATAATCACAAGAGTCACCGACTTTGAACAGACAAAAATGTCAAAAATTTCCAGCACTTGCCTAAACAGTGCATGCTCAAACAAGGGCCAACTGCTGAGAAATACGACTGCCGGCTGGACTGGTAAACTTCCAGGGATATTATTGGAAATAATTATCCTTTTTTTTTTTTTCCTTCCCATCACAGCTCAAGAATAACTTCGAGATTGATCCTGAAGCAGCTGAGAAGATAATTGTGAAGCATGAGGACTTCTACCATGCCTTGGAGCATGATATCAAACCGGTGAGTAAATACTCTCGGTATATAATGACTCTTTAGGTTGTAGTTATCGTAGTATTGGTAGTATGTGAGAGATACTGCCTAGGCAAAAACTATTATCTGGGGAACGAGCAAGGTTATAAGGTGTTTCGTTGTAAATTTTTTGTTCTATTGATGTATTATGAAATGTGTTATTCCCTTTTTTTTTCTTTTGCGCATGTAGGCATTTGGACCTTCTGACGACAATCTTGATTTGTATGTCGCCAGTGGTGAGTCCTGAATATTTCACCTCGTATTTTAAACATGTTAGGTCTACACATGGTTATCGTACTATATCTGCTATCTGTAATGACGTTTTGACACCATCTTGTAAAAGAAACTCGGGGTTCAAGACTTTCCACTCAAGTGTATGTGTTCTTTGGAATAATCTAGGTAATACATACAGAAACATAATTTCCCTCTCAAATTTCAGAAAAATGCTGTAGAATAACTTTCTCAAAACTCCTCACTAGAACACTTCAAGATCCGTAGGACTTTTTGATTTTTATAATGAATTTCAATAATTTAGTTGGAAGTGTAATGATTAGTAGGATCAGTATGACTTTTGTTTTTGTTTTTGTGTTTAGTTCTATGTTGAAGGCCATTATGTAAACTACCCTCGATAAATAAATTGTTAGTTTGTTTGTGAGTTTCCATCAAGCAAAATTTGTGCGGCTTAACCATGCAGTCAACTAATAATATTTTTTAGACAGTGACTCACGTAGTCATTCAGGCAGTTGGTCTCTCAACAGTCGTTAATTATAATACGTCATTTATTTATTCATTCAGTCATCGAGTCAAGTTTATTAGTTAGCCTCCCTTTCTGTTGGTCTGTCTGTCGGTCATACGGTCCTTAAGTCAGTAAGTCAATTGATTGCTTAGTCGGTCAGTCGGTCAGTCAGTCAGTCTGTCAGTCAGTCAGTCTGTCACCTAGTCAATCTGTCTGTCAGTCAGTCAGTCAGTCTGTCAGTCTCAGTCTCAGTCTCAGTCTACCTGTCATTTAGTCAGTCAACTTATTGTTCTTAGCATCAGTACATGATAATTTCTGTTGACTTATTTCGTCAGGAATTGTCCGGTGGGGTACACAAATTCAGCGGATATTAGATGATGGAGATCTTCTGTTGCAACAAACACGAACTCAGGACATCACTTCCCCGATAACGGTCCTATTAGAAGGTAATGTAAGTGTACTGAAGTACCTTATGGGTAAGAGGTGTTGTATTGAAGTTTAGCGTCGTCCACTTTAGATCGAGAGGCCTGGGTTCAAGCTGTGGTTCTTTAACGCCACCCTCTAATCAGTACAGAGAAGATGCAGGAGACGGCGCCTACGGTTTTTCGTTCTTATCCGAGAAGACTAGAATGTCTAACTCTTTGCAGATGTCATAGCAAAGGCACCACATTTTCCTTCATTATTTTAAGACCCTGAGTGTTGGTCGGTGTAGGGCTTGAACCCTCCACGTTCCGCATGGCAGTCCGGCGCTCCACAATATGAGCTAACTAGGCGGCAGTGCCCATCTGTGTTAAATGATTGAGAACGAAATGAAAATCGAGCTCGAAATTTGCCATGTTTCCTATTCTATTTACAAAGGTTTCTTTTGTTGCTATCTCGGATAAAACAAAAATAAAAATAGGCGTTAGTGAAATAACTTAAATCGTCTGCGAAACAACCTACGAGACGTTAGCGAATTGACTTGGGGATGAGACGGTGGCGAAACGACCTAAGACGCTGGCGAAACGACCTAAGACGTTAGCGAAACGACCTAAGACGTTAGCGAAACGACCTAAGACGTTAGCGAAACGACCTAAGACGTTAGCGAAACGACCTAAGACGTTAGCGAAACGACCTAAGACGTTAGCGAAACGACCTAAGACGTTAGCGAAACGAGCTAAGACGTTAGCGAAACGAACTAAGACGTCAGCGAAACGACCTAAGACGTTAGCGAACTGTTCGTTAGCGAAACGACTCGAATGCGAAATTACTGCATTCATCACTCATATTTGAAAACATGGAGGAGCACAAATTTCCTTCTCCGTTGAAAAAAGAAAAACACACCTTTTTTTGCAGGTCCCGTTGGATGTGGCAAGACGGCCCTCGCTGTGTCCATGGCTCTAAAGTCGGACTTCCCTTTTATCAAGCTGTGTTCCCCAGAAAACATGATCGGATTTGTGGAGAGCGCAAAATGTCAGACTATTAAGAAGGTAAGCATCTTGCTGATACTCCTTTTAGGAATATTTTCAATTCGGGATACTAAAAAGTGGCTCGTAGATTTCTGATGAAACCTATTCAATTATCAAAACAAAACAAAAAGATTTGTGATTATTGCGAGGACCTAAAAGGCGAAAAAAAAAAAAAAAAAGAGTAGTGAAATACAATTTCAAAGAAAAGCTTAAATTCAAATTTTGATTGGTATATCCTCGTTGCTCAAACAATAAATCATTCTACAGACAACAATCATTTCTACTGACAACAATCATTCACTTGACTGTGATGATGACTTCCGCACAGGTTGTCGAAACGTCAGCCACTACCACCGACAACAGTCCTTCTCAGGACTACACTCACCCGGACGATCAGACTACACCTTCAAATGTTACCCCCGGGTTCAAACCATTTACTGCAATAGATCATTCTGACCGCACACTGACTGTGCCATCTTTAAAATGCTTTGAACGCCCTGATTTCTGTGAAAAATCGCCTTTCCCTTTTTTCATTTTCCAATATGCATGGATATTATGATTGCAATAATGTACAGAGCAATTCCAAAGCAATGACTTCTTTTGTTTTGAAATATTGTAACAGATATTTGATGATGCCGACAAATCACAGCTGAGCTGTATTGTCGTAGATGACATAGAGCGTTTGTTAGGTGCGTTCTCTAGCTGTTGAATTGATTTTATTTAATTAGCTTGAGTGAAACAATTTTTCCCTTGACCCTTTACACCCCAACATCAGTGTGCATGGTCTCAGTACTGTTCTCCATACACTTCCTAAGAAGCTGACAAGAAGAATTTGTTTGACAATTAAGAGCTTCTCTAGTCGATGATCGTTTCCTCTATTCTCGTGAGCTCTATGATTGATTCAGCGGTGATATTGTCAGGAGCAATTAGCTGCTAGTCACTCTTAGGGGTCAAACGGTTTTAAAACTCTTATCTTTATTTTCATTATCATCACGACTATTTTTATTATTATTATTATTATTATTATTATTATCATTAACTTTTGTCACGTTCATAAAAGGGTACAAAATAGAGGAAAATCTACACGATCTGAGGGTGGTTGTATAATTTTAGTCTCATTGTTTTTCTTGGTTTAATTGATGCTGTGTTCTGCTGTTTTGTTACTTGTATTTAGTATGATGGGACTGATGTTTCCTTTCGTCACTTCGTTTACGTGATTTCATTAATTTTCAGATTATGTTGCTATTGGGCCAAGATTTTCAAACACAGTTCTTCAAGCTTTGCTTGTATTGCTCAAGAAAAAGCTAAGGAAGGTTTGTAAACGTACTATACTCGCATCCCTTTCAGGTTTTGCTTCTTGTTAAGTCGTCGACAACCACGACGAAAATGACACTGATGACGTAGATAACGACGAGGTTGACGATGATAACTTTGGGATAGTTTTCAGAAAGTTTTCGTGATAACGAGCAAAACAGCGATGGTGTTGATACACGACGCCGCCACGGTTATTGGCAACTACGATATCAACAGTTTCCGTGGAAATGACAACGAGAAGGACGAGGATACGAGAAGATGAGGATATTTTGATACAAGTTAGCCAATGTAGGCCACTTTTGACAAAAGCAATAACAATAACAAACCACAGCTTTTTTTTGTATGTATTTTTTTCTTAGGGTCGTAAACTGATTGTAATCGGAACAACCAGCTGCCGAGATGTGTTGGATTCCATGGGCATCGTGGAAGCGTTTAATACCGTCATTCATGTGCCCTCAATCTGGTCCACAGACCAACTCAAACAAGTGCTACAGGTTTGTCGAACGTATCGCTGTTTGCATGCTGTAACTACTTGAAATCAAGGTTTTTATAAGCTCTTTTCGAACAGTCTTGCTTAATTTCGCACCTTGCTAGTTCTAAGCTTGTCCCTATTTGGCTCCCTCCACCTCACTAAAAGTATATATTGAACAAGTATATTCCATGTTGCCGTGTATCTGTTCATTAATCGATCACAGATGACGTTAGAATATAGTAAGAACAAAAAAGGTGGTACACGGGGCGCAGCTGAGTGTGTCACTCGGTTATGTTCTTACCACATGGTAACGTCACCTATGCACCCATGTAACGTCACCTGTCCTCCAATAGATCATAAGTATGAACCAATGAAAATGCGTGTATAAATCAGATAATCCAGTATAACTTAGTCCTCGCTGCTTGTAGACAATAATAATGGTGAGCGACATCTGCTTCAGTAGCCTATTTTATTTAGATGAGTCAGCCGAGAAATATTTCGTATTAAGGCCAATGCACCTATAAATTGCAGGTTCACAGAGGTGTAATTTGCCTATTTGAATGAGGTTAATATTTGCTGAAAAACTGTAGGGCTGCAGCAGCGAGCAAGTCAAAGGCCTTNGAGACTGAGTTCTCTTTGACTTCTAGTTTTGATTGGCCAGTTTGTTGACGGTGGGTTTGATTTTGTGAAACTTAGTTAAAAAGAAAAACAGACAAACAATACTCTAATCCTGTTACACAAATGTAGGTAGATAAATTTTTTTTCCTGCTTTTTCTTCTTTCTTCTTTTAGACTGTTAAGCGGGACCGAGTTGACAAATTTGTAAGTCTCCTGGAAGACGAAAACTGGTGAGTGCTGATTAGTTAAATCTACCGTATGCCAGCTTTGTTTTAAGGTAGTATTTAACGTTTCATGTACGATAGCTAAGGCTTCTTATGCGGAGAGTGTGTCCCCAAGATTGGACTTTTTAAGCACTTTAGTCAATCCTTTCAAAATGGCTTGTTTATCAAGGCGTGGTCCTTCGTCTTTCAGAACAAGCGAGGCAGTAGATTCAAAGTCTAAGAAACTATCAATTGTTAAGGGATATCTGTTGAGTTACTTGTGGTATCTGTGAGCAAAAAGAACGTCATTTTGCCCAATGAGACTCTAAAATATCCACCACGATGTAATGATCTTCACGTGTTTAGCCACGTTTTTCTAAATATGATTTTATATAAGCTTAAGTCGACCTTTTTTCTCTTGTGTCTTAGCCTAAGAGGTTCACAGACATAATCCAAGACTATTTCCAAAAAGTAAACAACTGCAGGTATGTTCAGTCATAATATCAGTTCTAGCTATTGTTTATACATTACAACCGGCCATGTTTGATTTAGAGTTAAAGTGGACGGCGGGGGGTGGGGGACGGTGAAAGACGTGATTCCTATCGCCTCGTCCCCTCCCCTCTTCTTTCTTTTGACCGTCGCTCACCTCCTTGGTACAAATTTCTTTATCTCCCCAGCTGCTATTTTAATCGAAGATAGCAGCTATCATTTTCACCATGAAAATACTTAGCACTTTCTCGCCAAAATCACAGTTGTTCTGTAGGCTAGCTGGTTGTAATTTCATTAACTAACCTCCATTAATATTTAGTCCTTATTAATCGAGGGGGAGGTCTGTATGGGAGAATCTTGACCGAAGTCGCCAGTACAGACCGAACGCAGTGAGGTCTGTACCAGCGACCGAGGTCAAGATTCTCCCATACAGACCGACTTAGCTCGGTTAATAAAATGTTTATGATATGGCTGTGTTTTATATGCCAATTTTTATATGCTAATTTCTTTGTAGCTTTTTTTTTCTTGACCGGTGGAGACGGGAAAATCTAGACCGCTTTGAATATTGATTTCAGCCAATCAAATTCGTGAATTCGGTAGTTTCCAGTCCTTGTGAGACACAGCCCTATATTAGTGTTAATTACCGATGCCTTACCTCTGTGAGACCCGAAGGTAATTTTTTTCTCCTTTTGACATTAATCCTTTGTTTTCCAGATGCTTGTGTTCCATGCACTTCGAGATATAGTCCTGCTCCTTACTAAAGATCGAATCCTGTACATTCGTAACATTTGATTTGGCACACAGCTACAGCAGTTGAATGGTTATCATACACAGCGCTTTTTGAGTTGTGTTTTAAAATAAAAACTAAAATTTATCATTACAGCTAATCAGAATGAGGGAAAATCTGGTACAAGCTACGGAATATCAGATAGGCGGGAAAACACGAACAATCATGTAATGATTGTACGTTTATTTGAAAATTATTCTATGAATGAAGGAAGTGAAATGAGTAAAAATTTGAGTGCTACCTAGGAAGTGACCAGGCAACGACGCATAAAAAAACAAAAATAATAACATAAATATTTCTTTGGACACACTGCGTTGCATTTTGAAATGTCTAACTGTCAAACTGTCCCATGTGAGGGAGAGGATTAAGTGTAGCATGCAACTACGTACGATTTGTAAAATGCACTTTTATAGTGACTTCGACTCCGACATTTATCTACGATCCTTAATTTTGCTGATTGTTAACAAAGCTAGGAACAGTTTGGAAAGATTTGGGTGTCTGTGATAAATTTTACTGTTGGAGTTACCTCGTCCTTACGCTGGAGTAATTCATTTTCATTCCATCGCCTTTAACAAATAAGATGTGCCAAAACATGAAAGTGTTCACGATCCCACCAACCTTCTAATGAGGTCATCAATCTCATGGTATCTAATAGTCTTTATTACATCCATTTTGAAATCACTGGTGGTCCCTGTAATCTGATTGGCTCTAATTGGTGCGATTTATTCACGAATCGCACCATTTTTTGCTCTAAATCGCATCATTTTATGCTTGACTGAGTCTTTGACACACGACGTCAAAGTCTTTCTGTTTTGCATACAAAACAGGATGTGTGAAGGTGTAGTCTGATCGTCCGGGTGAGTGTAGTCCTGAGAAGGACGTAAGTCAGTGACGTAAGTCAGTCGTGATTGGTCTGTTTCGATCTGTCGGTAAAGTTAGGTCGTTCTTTTTCGGTCGTTTGTGAGCCAATAACATCACGGTCGTTTACAGCCAATAACATCACGGCAAAACCAACCGATCATTTCACWCGAACTGGAATAAGAACATTCTACTGACAACAATCATTCACTTGACTCTGATGATGACTTCCGCACAGGTTGTCGAAACGTCAGTCACTACCACCGACAACAGTCCTTCTCAGGACTACACTCACCCGGACGATCAGACTACACCTTCACATGTTACCCCCGGGTTCAAACCATTTACTGCATTAATAATTTTTTGTTCAGATTTTAATTAGCTAACCGGAAACACAGCTAAGCTTTCTCTTAGCGCTTGCTGGAGGTCGTCTACGAACTTAACGTTCTCTGCAACCTTGGCCCTATTGTGAACGATTTTACTACAAAGCGAAGATTAGATTTTGGCGCGCACAGAAAACAGAAAGCTACGTAGGCGAAAGTGCCAGTTGCTCGACATACCTGCGTGGCCCGTGCGACGAAATAACTTCACGGGATTGGCAAAGTTTCAGTCATAGCAAATTACGCAAAAAATCTAGAAAGATTTAAGCTTAAATGTCGTTTAACGTTTAAAGCGACATATCAATGACTTCAACCATCGTGTTGTATAAAAACCTCGCAAACTTTAAAACACGTTCTCTCGTGATACCTGCGAAAGTATTCAGTATAATTTCCTGTAAAATTTTCACGGACAATCTGATCGATCTCTCTTACATTGTGTGCTGAGACTGAAACTTTTCACCTCAAGCAAATCACCGTTGCACGGTCCAAACAATCATAGCGAGCAACTGAGCGCATAGATGTCCGTGTTAAAACACACGAAAGGTTTCTAAAGTACACGTTACTCTGATTGGGCAGAAAAACACAAAGATTTCCTGGCACCAATCAGATGGCAGAACGACTGCGACCGTTTGGAACTAGTTTTGTAAGACAATGTCCCCACGGGCTCTTCATGCCCCAACTTGAAATCGACTCAGCCCCTGGGTCTTTGAGAATGGGTTCGGTTGTAGACTTATACAAGATCTCTTACGCAAAGTGTTTCAACGGAGTGGGAATAGAGAAATCCCGAGATACGCTTTGT